TAATTATAAAAAGTTTGCTACCAATTCACGTACATTCAATTTGGGGTCAGTAGCACACTTCTGCACGGTCAAAGGGGGCACACTGTTTTTAAATAGCAACCACTATTTTCTTGACGTAGTGAATTATTTGTCGATACAAATTGATGCAATAAAACTCGTTTTTCAAATAATTGAATTTTAATATTTCCTTAGCTAATCGACTTCGAATCGTATAGACCGATTCATCATCAGACCTTAAGAGACACTTTTTTAAAATTGTGCTAAATCCTTAGCAAAAAAGTTTCCTCGTCACAAGAGCTTTCAATAAAAAAAAAGAAAATTAAAATCGGACTATTAGGAGCAGAGACACAAAAAAATATATTGCGGTTAATGGCGCCATTTTGGCGGCCACCATTTTGGTTTCCTGCACGGATTTTTGAGTGGCTCCCTATCTCAAAAGTTGCCTTTTGGTATTAACTATTACCACAGAAAGTGGCATATTCCAATCAAAAAGTGCAGTTTTTTTTGGCATACCCAACGTACTATATATCATTAGATAAAGACAAAAAAATCTTTTTTCGATTGGTGTCATTATAAACCCGCTAAGATCTAAATTATCATGGGGAGCAACGATCTCCAAAAAACCTTTTTCCCATGTTAATTGCCTATGTTCGTTTTTGAAATATTTTTATTTTATGCCCGTGTATATAATAATTTAGCGGTACTTTTAGAAGAGCAGTGCTGCAGCTGCGCTCGGAAAATCGTACCTTCCAGCGTGTCTACCGAGACCTTAGTAACATCACGCGATCGGTAGATCATTTTTTTTTGGTTTCTTATGACATCAACTTTTTCCAACAAAAGTTTCATCTTTGTAGAAATAAGTTCAATCGAATAATTTTTTGTTTACTTGTACAATCAAAACAATAAAATGGCAGAATATCAGCTTTGTAGAAATGAGTGCACAAAAAATGTCGCTGCCTCCTGGACTGTAAATAGTATGCTTTTAGGCTATGATAAATTCGGCAGCTATTTCCCTTTTTCATGGGATTTTCTTCCACAAAAATTAATACATTCAGTTTTATATCCTCCCTTGAAATTGAGGGTTGTTTACTATGTCTTATTTTTTATCTAATTAATTAATATAACAGCAAAAGCTTCATTTGTTATAAATAAGAAGTTATTTTGGTTGCATAAAATTAGGCGTCCTTCAGAAGAGTTTTTGTCATTTAAAACTAGTCATAGGAAATCCTTATGTCTACTTCTAAATGAATATCACTGTATGTCCTTTAGTAGCAAAACCGAGTTGTGGTGGATGAAAATAAGGAGTCATGGGGGAGCTGACTCAATAGCAGGCAAATTTTGCTGTTGTCTTTCTGGAGCAATTTTCACATTTCTTATTTAGGGCGCACAGTGAAGCGCCATGTAAAATATCAAGTAATTTAGACGAGGCTTTCAACAGATAATGGAATACAGTCTATTGGAGGATCGAAAAATAGCAGTGGTCTTGAAAAAGGCGGATGCTTCTCACTCTAGCCATCGGTTAAAAATACGACCGTGCCTCTTATGTCACCATCAGATAACTTAGTGATAGGGAGGTGGGTTTAGCATAGCGATTTCGAGTTTTAGGGACGTTTAATGGCATTTGCTTAATTATACTGTCGAGGGTCTTATTTCTTGACGTGGAGTCTGGAATTTTAGATGGACAGGTTTTGAGAACAAGCTCCAGAATAAGCATTTTTGAACTGCTAATTGATATTCATGTTATTTTGTTAATTTTAGATAGCATTGAGTGGAATTGCTGGTGCGTGTCGATGCAATTAGTTTATTTATTTATTTATTATCTCTCTCTTGTTCTAGATCCTCTGTAACAATGAAAAGAGTACGAGTGTTGGAAGCTACATTTACGTCACAGAACTCAAATACTCGTAATACTAAACTCTGCGTTCTTGTTATGGCTCAAGGCGAGTCTTGTTCTTATCACACAATCCGGAGATGCCGAAGTTTTAAAAACTAAGTCGGACGCAGAGACGTGCAACATCGTGAGCGACAAGAACTTGTGCTTCATCTGCCTTCAGTCGAACCACTTTATCAAGAACTGTTCCGGCGGTACTTGTCGTGTATCTGATTGTAACGTTAAACATCACACCTTATTGCATCAAGATATGAATCAACCGAAGCCGTCATCCGCCTTAGAATTCCTGAAGATACCTGGTCTATCCCTAAATCGTGTATATAGTATAGTACTATAGTGGATAATGAGTAATTTCTTTCCCTAAAATTGTACGTAAAATGACTTGACGAGTAGATCCCAGACGTGGCGATGTCTAAAATTTCTATTGGTTAGTATCCCTCGCACCACCAATCCCTAACGACTTTTATTATTTGAAATACAAAAAACAATGAAAGAACAAAAGCTCATTAAAAACCCTTGGACAATATTTGTCTGGGAAGACACTGAAAAACGACATTTTTTGCAGAGCTTTAATTGTAGAGCTGAGGGTCGTAAATCCCTAGCTCTCCCAAGCGAAACTTATATTTATTTATTTTGGCTTTATTATTGACTGGGCGGGGTTTCATGCTGCAAAATAAAATTTCGGTCGGAGACTATCTCGTAACTCAGAAACTCAGTCTTCACATAACGAGTTACACACTTTTACAGTTGAGAACTGATAATATTTATTGTAAGAACTACATGCTATTTATATCACAGAATTGCTTATTTAATAACCTAGTTTAATATATTGTCCTTGTCAAGAATGTCTTCCTGTTGTCTTGAATTGTTTACGTTTTGTTTCCTGGTGTAGTAACGGTTCTGTGTATGGCGGCATCTCCTTATTTTTACTTCTAAACAAAATTAACCCGTAACTTATTTTTTTTCTGGTTATTTTTACGTTTATGGTTCTTAAATTTTGGCGGACGTGGGAATCTGTTCTAAATGAACATTAATTTTCCTATTTTTACTAGCCAATTGAAAAATTAAATTCAAAATAAAAGCTTCGGTCACAAATTGGGCGAATTTGACCTTCGGTAACGAAAAAACGTCCAACCGCGATTATAATTGTTTTTTTTTAAATTAAACTGTCACCTTCAACTCTACCAACGTAATTTTTACACGAAATGGACAGAGTTCATGCTTTAGTCGGAGCTAATTAATTGTATTTATAGTGCGCACACACAATGAAAAATAACTCGTCTCGTCTAAACATAATATTTTCTTTCCTGTTGAATCCCTTAATTTATTCGCGCTTTTTTTAATTTAAACACTTTATTTTCCCAGAGTCACAAAATCCCAAATTCAGATGCGAATTTCACCAAACGTTTACGCACCCTTGGCACATACACGAATTTTTATCGAGATCATCGAAATGGATACATCCTGTGCCCTTTCACGAAAAGAAACTATACTATTACCAGTCAGATTAAGGCTCCAGTAACTCAAAACTGAATCATGCTTCAGTTCCTGGCTAACGTACTATATCCGTAAACTTTCTCTTGAAGTTCTACGGTTAACAACTCCGCAGCTCAGCACCGAATGAATCCAAAAATCTCCCGAAATGATCCCCACATTAAATTCTTACTGATTAATGAACGCCAAAAAAGTGGGTTTTTATTAATAAAATCGGACATCTTTAACCGTTGATTCGTTTTCTTCATTATATTGCACTACCAATTAAAATCTAAGGAAATAAATCAATTCCCACGTAGTTTAAGGTGGTAGGCCAAATGTAAAACCCGTTTTTAAGATGAGGGAAGTTCTGGTGCAGTTTTCGGTCTTTACATTTAGCCTATCACCTTAAAGCCTGAACTGGACTAGGATTTTTCCGATCTTAACCACTCTACATTGTGTTACCAGTACCTAGTGCTGAGAGGGAGAGGGATACTTAATACAGACACATCCGAACCCATTATGAAAACCACAGAGAGGACAATTCACTAAATCTTTGTAGATTTACCGTTGAAATTCCACTAGCAACATAATTTATTGGAAAAATGGGCCCTCTAAATTTCGACACCCTGTAAATTTTCTACGCTAAGTAATTCTTAACCTGCTTTAACACTATCTGGAAAAAAATTCCTGCTTTATAAAATTAGAATAAAATAAATCGAAATTTAAAGCTACCGTTACAGTCGACATTTTTTTATGGAACGTCCTATATACTTTCGTATTTTTGGATCCTCCTCAATAATGTAACGGAAATGCTCCAGACATGACGTCACCTTTGGCGCTCTGGAATTTTCTACGCGCGCGATAGCGTGATTGTGTAGGAGTATTCGAGAATGTACTGGACTTACATTGCTTGCGTGTATAAATGGTTGCGGACCGATCATCGCGGCAGTCTACTACCGAACGAGTACGTAAACATCGAGCACGGAAAGATAAATTGCGAAGTGTGAGTGATATAAATAATCGATATAAATTTGTGAGTGATATAAATAATCGATATAAATTGTACGGATTTTATAGTGTTTTAGTTCTGTTTAATAAATATTGATATAAATCGAACCCGAATTTATAAATCACGTTACAATAACAATAATTCTTTTTTATGCACTAAAGAAATTGAGTTTTTCCTTCTCCCCAGTAACGGTAACGGATGGGGTGTAAAATTATGGCCATTTTTGAATTGGAGACGTAAACTGGATACCATTTATACCAACTTCAGGATCTCCAATTATAATATATTTCAAGGACGACCTTTAAAACGTCTTTCGTCTACATTTACGCATTTGCTTAGCGTGTGCATAAACTATGCTAAACGCCGCCATTGATTTGGCATCAACCTCGCAAGTAAAGGTAGATGTCTACGTTTGCACATAAATTATTTAAATTTATTTGGTATAAAACGGAGAGAAAAGTGATTTTCCATTTAAAAAATTTCTCTCAATTTCTCCTACCTGAAATATTTAATTTTATCCCCTGTTCCCAAGGAATTGAATTATGTAAAGGTTGTTTTTGTCGTCGTTGAAAATGCTAATGCGCTCATAAACGATGTATAATCCAAATTGTTTTTTCTTTTCAGCGTTCCGAATACGTGAATGTATGTGGCAGCGGGATGAAAACGGAAAAATAAGGTAAAATTTATTTCTGTAGCGATAACGTAATCTTTTCGGAAGCAACAGGCATATTCAATGAAAAAAGTGACACAAATAGATCAATTTGCTTTGGGTAGAAAAACCTATAAGGCTTTTCTTTTGAAAAGTGCAAGAACATGTTGATTTAGAAAGTGAAGGGGACGTTTACAATCCTTAAAAACTGCGCGAGTACATTTATTTCAAAGCTTACGCCTATGGAACTCCAAATCCTCGCCATGACAAAATGGAGCCACTTGCCCAAGAGAGGGTTAGGTGAGGATAGCTAAGTTAATTAGAATAGTACGTTATTGGCTTTACCATAACCGCTAGGTAATTGATCAATATTACACTCGGTATCCTTTAGAATTCAGCGGGAAGTAAAAGCAACATCTGTAATAATTAATTACGACAATTTCGTTAATTATTAAGTTCGTTGCTTCGAAACTTTTCGCAGGTATAAAACTAAATCAATTTAAAAAGTTGAATTCGCTTTAAATGTGCTGGCGTTTAATATTCTATTTGTTAATCAAAGCTCTTAATTTACAGAAGAGTTTTGCATAAGTTGTAATATTTTAATTAGATTTAAACTAAAGCTTTTTAAGTAACTTTGAAAGGGAAAATGGTTTAAATTTAGACAATCATAACGGGAAAAGGCAGCGGGCTCGTTTCCTTTAATGGAAATGTAATCTCATATAATTATAAGCGAGTTGTGGTGGCGTGGTGCATTGTTCGCACTAGCTGTTGCCATCAATATTTTTATTTGTTTTATTGATCTGCAAATTTACAATCTACATATTGAACAAGTAATTAGTAAACGTTAGACAATTCACGAAGTATTAGCGGAAGGCGACTTGATGAAGTTTAAATCATCAATCGATCCTAATGGCAGCAAACAGTAATGCATTCAGCATCTATTACCAGAATGTGCGTGGCTTAAGGACTAAGGTACGTTCTTTACTTGTGAATGTGTTAATGTGCAACTATGATATTATATGTTTGAGTGAAACGTGGCTTAATGACAGTATTTTCAGTAATTAACTGTTTGATAGTAGATATATTGTGTATAGGAAGGATAGGGTTAATCATTTGCGAGGTGGTGGGGTATTAATCGCTGTTAAAGCAGCATTTTTGTCAGAAAATTTAAATTGTTTTATGAATGGAGTTGAAGGGTTGTGGGTTAAAGTTGTATATCATGGAAAAAAGTATTTTATATGTAATGTGTATATACCTCCTGGTGAAAATTTAGACTTATACTTAAATTTTTTTGATGATACAGAAAAGCATATTGATATATTTAATAGATATACTAGTATAATAGTTGGTGATTTTAATATACCTGAAATTTCAGATTGTGATTATGATCTTCAGCGCGGTTCAAATAAAGCTAGGGAACTTAATAAGTTTTTAAATTTACTTGACTTTAAGCTGATTAATAATATTCAAAACTGTAATCACAGAACGCTTGATCTTGTTATTTCTAACATGGATATGTCTGCTATTCGGATTGAAGAGGAGTCTGACGCTTTAGTTCCAGTAGATAGTCATCATCCACCATTGTTACTAACAGTAAAGTTGGTGAAACAATCCACAGCAAAAGAAAATAATTCAATTCCTCGATTCAATTATAAAAGAGCTGATTTCTTGAAAATGCATAATTTAATACGCAACTGCGCTTGGGATGATTTACATTTGGTAGATGCAGTTAATGATCCCGTGGATTTGTTTTACCAGAAGTTTAATTCAATCATTAGCGATTGTGTACCTAAAACTAAATTATTTCGGCGACAATATCCAGTTTGGTTTACTCATTCCATAATCGTAAATCTAAAACTTAAAGACAAATTCAGGAAAAAACGACATTTATCTGAATACTGGTTAATTAAATATCTGAATTTAAGATCGAACATAAAAAATGAAATTCAAAATGCCTATCTACAATATATCAGATCAATTGAATCGGATATTGCTGATAACTGTAATAGGTTCTGGAATTTCATTGACAATATTCACGGAAGATCAACTGAATTATCCATGTCATACAATAACATTACATATTATAAGTCTCAGGATATTGCCAATTGTTTTGCGGACTATTTTAAATCCATATATTCTGATTGTTCTGCGGGGTATAATTTAAATATTGACAGTTCACAGGAAACCTTTATTGACAGTGCACTACACATTAATGAAATCACGATTTGTGATATAGAATTAGCGATCAAGCGTCTTAAGCCAAAAAAGTCTTGTGGACCCGATGGAATTCCACCATATATTTTTAAGGCTTGTCGAGAATATCTAGTAAAGCCATTGCATACAATATTTAATTTAATTATTAAAACTATTATATTTCCCAACAAATGGAAATTAACTAAAGTTACTCCTATTCACAAATCCGGGAATTCTAAAGTAATCAGTAATTATAGACCGGTTGCTGTACTTTCCACTCCTGCAAAAATTTTTGAAAGTATACTCTATAAGTATATATTTGATCATGTTAAATCCTGTATATCTATCCATCAACATGGTTTCATGCCAAAAAGATCTACGGTAACAAATCTTTGTAATTTTGTACATTACGCTTCTCTTGCGTTGGATAAAAGAAACCAGGTTGATGTTATATACACTGACTTTAAAAAAGCATTTGATACCGTAGATCATGATAAGCTTATGGATAAATTAATACAGTACAGTTTGTCAGTGCCCTTATTAAAACTGTTGATATCATATTTGAGAGGTCGTTCACAAATTGTCTCTTATAAGAATCATATTTCTCGAGTTTTTCATACATATTCTGGGGTGCCTCAAGGCTCAAACTTGGGACCATTATTATTTTTACTTTTTGTTAACGACATAACTCGAGAAATACGCTATTCTCAGGTTTTGCTGTTTGCAGATGACTTAAAGTTGTTTAAGTCTGTAAGTTCAACAGCTGATTGCGCTGAATTGCAAACCGACTTAACAGCATTGACTGCTTGGAGTACAACTTTCAAACTAGAATTTAATGTAAGTAAATGTAAAGTGTTGACATTTTCTAAGCGGAAAAATACCATATTTTTCGAATATGATATCAATGGTATCACAGTTGAAAGAGTTTATGAAACAGCTGATTTAGGTGTCACACTTGCGAGTGATTAGTCGTTTAAAAACCATATAAATAAAATAACAGCGGTTGCATATAGAAACCTTGGATTTGTTATAAGGAACTCTTGTCAATTAACTATTAGTACGTTAAGTATTTTATACAATGTCTTTGTTAGATCCAAATTAGAGTACGCATCTATTATCTGGAAACCCTACAATTCTAAAGAGTGTCAACTTATTGAACGTGTACAGTTTAAATTCTTAAAATATGTATATTACAAGCATTATGGCACGTATCCTTTCTTGATATCTTATAAGTCTATAAGAGAGTCATTCCAATTAAAAACGTTGGAGCATATAAGGAATGTCCATTCTCTTATTTTTCTATTTAAAATTCTGAATAATTTGATTGACGATACAGCTATGAGAGGCACAATCAACTTCTATGTTCCAAATGTTATACCATCAAGAACTCGAAATTTATTTTATATCCCCCGCGTCAACACAGATTATTGTAAAAACTCTGCATTGCTAGCAGCATTACATCTTTATAATAGTGTGCATATATGGAATAACACCATAGATATTTTTTATATGTCCCTAAGGCAGTTTGCAAGATCGTGTGACAATATTCAAGAACTGTAAAAAAAAAATTTTTTTTCACAGCATTTTTCTTTTTTATTCTTTCTTTTGTTTTCCTTTGTCTTTTTTTATTTAAATACTCTTAACATATTTTTTTATATTCTTTATAATTTCGAATAGTTTCTTTTTAAAATTAATACATGAACATTGTTATTGGGGCAACCTGTTATGTTCATAGATAAAATAAATAAATCTCTGTAGAAGATGAGTTTGTAGGAGGAACACGTACCGCTTCATAGCGAACCTGAACGAAAATATGTCTGGCGATTAGAAGCCATATTAAGAAATGTATTACGGGAAGCAAGCGCGGTTGCCACGAGTTCTTCAGATCTAAAAGATTCGGTGCGTTGTACGAAAATCCGATCACGTGACAGTAATGCGGGTTTCCTATTGGTTAAAGAGGAGTCGAGTCCTTTGCGTTCAGAAAAGGGGTCACTTCTCAAACGTGCTAATGGCTGAGAGATTCTCGCTTGGGTTCCTGAACCGAAGCGTACTATTTGGGTGCATTAAAAATTAAATTCGAATAGGAATTTAAAAGTGATTGCGTACATTGTTTGTGCGGAAGTTTTTCTACTGTTAAAGATTTATTATGAATTGTTTTTCACGAACCATTATATTCCAGTTAAAGTAGTTATAAGAGCAGGCGTGTGCCCAGGGTTATATGCTATTTATATATCACAGATTATCTGCCTTAATCTATGTTAATTATGTACGATGTACGTAAGTAATTTACTTATTGAACATACCTCGTACATTGTACTTCCCTCAGAACTGAAAGGCCATCATCACTCGTAAATTTATTTAAAGATACTAAAAGTGATGGAAAATGCAAAGGAAGTCGTATTGGATATGTTACATGAACGAAAATTGCGTCTGAATAGTGGGCACTTCCACCCTATGAAGGTTCGGTAAGAAATCCACTTATTCAATTTACGCTGTCTCGAAAGATAAACTGCCTGAAAATGTGATTTATTGATAGAGAAATGAAAATATCCTGTCCCTTTTTTTAGTAGTAGATATAACTTTTATTAGTCCTCTGCAAAGTTAATTAGGTATGAAACGTGAAACAGAACTAGCTATGAAATATAAAATTCTCAACCCATTGCAGTTGTACTTAGGGATGTCCACTGTAGCATTTAATATTTTACACTCGAGAAATAAAGAATTAATTCATTCATTCCTAAGGGAATGCTGTACTTTAAATATATTAATTACTTCTAATCCCCTTTTCGTGCCAGTTCTCGAGGACGTTCCGGTTATTACGAACTTAAATTCCA